AAGTAGCAGCAGCAACACTCGAACCTCCCTACCATAACAACTTAGAATGCCCCTGTATAGACACGAAGCAGCAGCAGCTGCCGCAGCAGCTGCTTGCTGCTGAGCCTCTGGGGCCCCCGCTGCTGCTGCACCGCTGCTGCGCTTCTCTCATCGAGGCTTGCTGGTCTTGCTGCAGCAGCAGCAGCAACAGCAGCAGCAGCAGCAGCAGCAGCAGCAGCAGCTCGTGCATCCCGCCTATTGCAGTGATAGAGGAACTCTGTGCTGCTGCTGCTGCGCTGCTGCTGCTGCAGCTGCCCCCGCCCTCTGCCTTTCAGAGGGGGAGGCAGCAAACTGTGCTGCGGCGGTGCATGCGTTTAGTTACTTTGGGGCTGCAGCAGCGCCAGCAGCAGCAGCAGCAGCAGCAACAGCAGCAGCAGCAGCAGCGGCAACCGCAGCAGCAGGGAAGTGGAGAGCTCTTGCGGCTGCATGCACAGCTGCTGCAGCTGCTGCTGCTGCAGCAGCTAGCAGCAGCAGCATTCTGCCCTGACATCTGCTGCTCCCCGCTGCAGCGCCAACGCTTTGCTGCTGCTATACTCGAAGACAGTCCGCTCGTGCTGCAGCTTCTGAAGGATGGGTTAGCTGCTGTCAGTGCTGCTGCTGCTGCNTCGAAGACAGTCCGCTCGTGCTGCAGCTTCTGAAGGATGGGTTAGCTGCTGTCAGTGCTGCTGCTGCTGCTGCTGCTGCTGCTGCAACAGCAATGGAAGCTGCAGGGAGGAGCAGCAACACAACAGAGCTGCTAGCAGCACAGCAGCAGCAGCAGCAGCAGCAGCAACTCTGTGAAATTGTTCACCGTGTTTGGATCCGCTGCTGCTGCACCTGCTTCAGTCTGTGGAGCCGCTGTGCAGCAACAGCAGCAGCAGCAGCAGCAGCAGCAACAGCAGCAGCAGCAGCAACTGGCGCAGCAGATGCTGCTGCTCCCAAGCCTCCTCAAGAGTGTGTAGAACCAAAACCAGAGGAGGTCCTCACCGCAAAAGCAGGATACAGTGCGTTGTGCTGCTGCTGCTGCTGCT